TTCCAAGGTATCCTATGGTGTTTTTCATATCCAGTTGAGAGGATTTGAGAGGATTTGATTTGATTAACTACAATTATGTATAGCACAGACACAAACTAACCTGGCAGGTTGAGTGATGTCCAAAGGTTTAAAAAATTAGATGCAACTGTATGGCAAAGAATGAACACAGTGGCCAAAGGAAGGGCAAAATTGTAAATGTCACCATTTTCCTGACTATGTAAATTCCCTTTGCTTTTAAATAAATGTTTCCATATGCGGTTCACAATGAGTACGTAACGGTTAGTATACGTACCACGAGCTATTAAACACAGAATACAGGCGTTTATGGCTAAATTAAACTGCTTTAGAACGCGCTTTTGCTAAACACTAGCTAAAAATTATTTCAATAAACAGACTGAACTCGAAGCTGTACGTGCTCTGACCTAGGTAAGTAATTTAAACGCAGTCGAAGTATCCGATTACCCTTCTGTGACTACTATACCTGAATATTCTAGAAACTTGTTTAGAGACGTTGCTTTTTTAGACGTTGCTTTCTAGTCCAGCTGTTATCGACCAAAAATATAGCGAATTGTTCACTTTTATGATAAAAGCATGAAACTTTGCCAGATTACAACCAACCCTAAGACTAACATTTCTGGATATGGAGCCAAGCCAAATTCAACACTGGACACGAGTACTGCGCAGGCCCTAAAATGGCCTACATGAAAAAGAGGCTGACAGTGGAAATGCTTCTAAAATACCGGTTTTTAAGTATTTTAGTAAATAAAACTTGTAGATATCGTGGAAGAAGCCATTTGCTTTGCTGTCATGTTATCTTTGGTGTCACGTGACCCTTTCTTCCAAATATCGCGGAGCCGTTGTTGCGCGTCCTGTGCTGGAGCTGTCTTCTATGCATTTGTGCGTTTTAAGTGGTGAGAATGGGCACCGATTCACACCATTTTAAATGATAACACTCTTGCAACTATTTTCCAATTATCAAGGGTTGGATTGGTTTTCATACAAATGTCAATTACCACATGAAAACAAGGCAAGAATCTTTTAAACTGTTTGAAAAGCGTCCAGTTAGCACTGCGTGCGGTCATTTGGGGGTGGATTCAGATAACATTGCATAAAAGCTTGCACTGATCAAAAATTGTGATTGTATGGCACTCTGGCTGTTTTTTCCCATCTAAATGTAAAGCACCGCTCAAAAACAAGGCAAAAATCCTTTTGAGGATCTTAAAAGCTAGCCTCCAGTTTCTAGCCTCCACGTTCGGATACTGCATTAAGCTATTAATATTCAAATAAACGAATGAATCGTTCAGGGAATTCTCCTTTTAATTATTAACAAAGTCAGTTACAAGGCTCAGTGCTGAATCCACGAGGTGGCCCGGCCCAAATAGCTCTCCCCCCTTCATTTTGAAGAAATGCCTATTTGATCCTTTCAAGTTGAAATTAATATTACCAGTTGTTGCTTACATTGAACAGCCTTTGAGGTAAAAATGAACAGGTCATGCAGTAGCAAGCGATTGTGCCTCCCCATATCTCTGTTACATCTAAAAAAAATAGATGATAGGATAGTCTTGTAAAGACCATTTTTGAGATACGCAATTTAAAGCTGCCAAATTGATATTCCTTTAAATTTTATATTAACACATGGAAATATAAAAAAGATGATCATTCTGAATGTAATAAAAAAGACCATGTTTCTCCCCGTTAAGGACAAGAAATTAAGCCTTTCAAACTCAGCTCCCTGTCAGAACGTCGAGCGCTTTCACACTCAACCCTAAGATCATCGTTCTCAAAGCAGCCGTATATACAGCATGTTAATCTCTTCCACGTGCCACTTATTTCTGCAGACAGGCTGCTTGGGGTATTTGGCGCCATGTGTAATGACAAAGATTAGCTTCAGCTCATACTCCGCGGGCTTCATATTATTCAAAATGCTCAGCAGGCAGTTTACCGGTACCAGATGAACAACAGCTCAGTAACAGAACTGAGTTTAAAAGAAGGGTGTGGCTCATTCATTGCTTATATAACCGTAAGTCATCTTATTCAAAATGACGGTAGGTGCACCAAGTAACGAATCTGTGTATCCATTTATGTGCAAAGCAAAACAGAAACACCCTTCTAAAATCGGCGAAGAATAATAATCGAAACACTGAAATCTTTCCATGAATGAGAAGATGCGAGTTCAAATGGTGAAATGAGATTTTACTAGTGTCGTAGATCCCTATTCCTAAGAAAATTCATTCCGCATACTTTAAAACTGTGCTGCACACATCCCACCAACCATAAGTTAACGCTCTTGCATCTTGTTTGCATAAACTGAAACTGGCTGACAGTTACTTCGTGGTCCAGACATTTCGTACTAGTTTGAGTGATCATCAACAGTTAAATCAGAACCCATTCCACCAATGAGGCGATGCTAGTTGTTTTAGTTAGCCATGTGTAGTATGGACACCGAAGAAAATGATGTCAATGTCACGCGGGCGTTGAGTCCTGATCTAAGCTTGCATTGGTATTGAGATCCCTGGCATCATTTGCCAACTGAATGAATGTAATCGAAGAATTTGTGGAATATGTTTCTTGAAAGAGAAAACAGTCTTTAGCCATGTTTACGGGAGCAATTTGAATGCAAGCGTAATTAAGGACAACCGATTTTCACGTAATCAATGCACAGTGAGATAAACAAGCCCATTTGATTATCCTAGATCCCATCATGTCGGGCAGACATTTTTTACCTTGCGTTTGGCCTGCGAGCAATTCAAGCTTTCTCGATTAACACCCCTCCCTCTTGCGTCTCCTTTTGAGTGCAGTTTGCACGTGACGTATCACGATAGCCCCAAATGGACAGCTAAAACTTAGGCTGCACTCATGTTTTCCTGGTTGACAAGCGTTAAGTGCAAACAAAAGCGTTGGGGAAAGAGTTAGTTCAATTGTTTTTTTCGGCTTGCACTTGCGTTTGTTTATCCAGCCCTCATTATCTTCAATAAAACCAGGCAAGAAGTGAAAAAGAAGATAAAGTGGCCTTCATAGTGTTTCCTCAATTCGAGTAGTGCTCATGCAACATACCTGTCGAGCAGTGTATGAATGGGATATGTATAGGGAACAACACTTCTGAGGCAAACAAGTCTAAAGGTTTTACTTTTGACTAAGGGGTATATCGTGGCAGTTTGTGGCTATGAACTGATTGAATGAAAGAAAAACTGCTTCTTCGGGACGGTGTCGATTCACCATTGGCAAAACTGGTGTACAACCTACTCTTTAGATACAGTGACATCGACAACTATCTTGTGGATACAACTATCAGAAAGGGGGGCTCTTCATTTCCTTAAATATGGCATATTTAAGGAAAAAGTCTATGTCATGTGACTTTCGATTGTCGTCCGTGGAGAAAAAAAAACGCTGCAAAAACGCCATGCGATCACAATTTTTGATCAATTCAGGCTTTTAGGCAATGCTCTATGAATCCAACACAACATGACGCACGCAGGGCTAACTGGAGGCTTTTCAAGCCGGTGAAAAGATTTTTGCCTCGTTTTCATGTAATGATTTGCATTTGTTTGGTAAAAAATAGCCCTTGATAATTGGAAAATAGTTGCAAGAGCGTTATCATTTAAACCTACCTGAAAAGGTTTCCCTTCTCACCCCTTTAAACGCACAAATGCACAGAAGACAGCTTCAGCACAGGACACCCAACAATAGCCTCGCTATATTTGGAAGGAGGGGTCACGTGACACCAAAGAAAGCATGACAGCAAAGCAAATGTTCTTCCACAATATCTACGACCAGGGTGGGGGGCGGGGAAAGACGAGGTCTGGGACCGAGAAACCATGTTCTCACAACTTGCAAGGCGGTCTCCCAGCGTGGTGGTCAGCGGATAATTACAGTATTTTTCCCACAGTAAATATTTTAGAAGCAAGAATTGAAGCGAACTTGCAGAGGAAATCAGAAATGCTTAAAACATTGAAAAAAATTATATCATGCAACTTTGCTTTTCTTGCATATAGTATTTGTCTTTCGGTACTGAAATGCGGGGGAAACTAAAACGCAACCGTGCTAGATCTTAACCAACAACAACGCGCTCGATGGATTTATTTATAGGTTACATCGTTTTTGCCGGGTAAGGATAACTTGATGCTGATAAAAAATACTGGAGCAAGTGTCAAATTTATCGGAAGCAAGTATATTCAAGAAAGCTTTATAAATATGCTCTTACTGCTCTACATATATCATAACTGAATAAAAATTAACACTTCATAACATTTCACTTCGTTTATTTCGATCAGTCAACACCTTGAATCCAAAGTTAAAATCCAAAACGATCCTAAAACAAATCACAACTACTACTGAAAGCTCTTTACCTTGAAGCGACTTTAACTTTCCTAAGGTTTGCAGCAAAACACTGCTCGAAAGCTCAACTCTTCGGGGGCCTTTTCTTAGCAGCTATACCGAAGCTAGCTACATGTTGCATATTCCAAAGTCTGCAAAGGGAAATTGTTTAACAGAAAAAGAAAACCACACACTATGTCTGAAAAGCGACATAAAATCAATAAATTTGCGAATTACCAAAATATAATAGTGAGAAACAGTGCCGCCTTCGACTGCCATGTTTTTGTTTTTCTCAAGACCGTCGTTCTATGGTTTTTGACGAAATGCGCATGATCAGCACAAAAATCCGCTGGCAAGACCCTTGCTGATCGCTTTGCAAGTTGTGAGAATATCGTTTGAATTTCATTTAAGAGAATGTATGGTAAGTAGCTGGTAAATGGTATTTTAGAAGGATTTCCACTAACAGCCTCGTTTTCATGTAGGCTATTTTAGGGCCTGCGCTGCGCAGTACTCGTCTCTAGTGTTGAATTTGGCTCGGCTCCATATCCAGAAATGTTAGTCTTAGGGTTGGTTGTAATCTGGCAAAGTTTCACGCTTTTATCATAAAAGTGAACAATTTTGGTCGATAACAGCTGGACTATTCGAAGGCCCAAACCCAAACCCAGCTAGTTTGAGTATTTGAGTGTATGGCGGCCACAGCATGGATTATTGTTTTCCTCGTTATGTTTAACTGTTTAGTGCTGGGAGAGAAGAAACGGGAATACAAACTAGGTCTTCTCATTCCCTACAGGAAAGTCAATCCTTATTTTCAGAACGATTACAACAAAGGGGAGTCGTTTGCGGCCGCTATGACCATAGCCGTGGAACGAATAAACGCGAACCCAACACTCTTGGCAGATTATAATTTGACATTTGTGTGGAAAGACACAGAGTGCAACGAACTGCTTGCTGTTCGCGAGCAGCTAAATCAAATTAATTCTGGAGTACAAGCTTTTATAGGACCCGGCTGTTATTGCCAGACGGCGGCGAAAAATGCTGCGGCATTCAATATGACGATGATATCCTTCGTGAGTATGCAATCTTTCATGTTGTGCAGTTTAATATCGGCTTTTCTACGCTGAATGATTTTGTTTTGTGCTAAATATTGTTGTTTTTTTAGTCATAAAATGTATGCCTTAACAGTTCAAATCAGGGCTTTTACTTCGGGTAGAAGAGCACAGAACGAGTCATCAGAATGGAATGGATAAAAGAGTAACATTGTCGTCAATTTATGACGAATGTATGCCACAGTAGTCGTAATAAAGACAAATGTATGCATTGACATGAAAGCACTATACACGCTTTTTTAAAAGCGTGTATAGTGCTTTCACTTATTAAAATAAGTCTGGGCGCCATCTTGAATTTTCAATGAATGACGTCATTCGCGAAAAGATCATACACGTGGCCAAAATGGCTACCAAAGATGAAAGAGGGTCTCAATGGGGTTAACCGATAGGCGTAAAACGGCCAAAAATTTAGTAGATAGCCGTAGAAATTGAAAAATTTTAACCGTTAGCCGTAATTAGGGTTAAAAGAGTTAACCGTAAAAAAGCATTTGTTTCATAGCTGGATTTGTTGATTTTAAGGAAGGTGCTAAACTCACCTATGACCGGTTGCGTTTCCTTTTTTCGCGGCTACTTTGACTGCTTTTGCTTTTTCACGATCTTTTTCAAATGAACTGTTGTCTGTTATCAGGAATGATCCTTTCCATCCCTTACGAGGGTGACGACGTTGGGATTTTCGGTTTTTTTAGTTCGGTTTTTCGGTTTTTGTACTGAAAAACTTCGGTTTTTAGGTTTTGTTGGCCGTTGCGGCTTCCAATTTTTCGGTTTTTTAGCACCCGGTTTTTTGGCAAAAATAAAGCAGGTTAGATTCCTCTCTGAGTCTCTCCGCAGTCCGGATGTTAGGCTATTTTATATGTTTCTATTTGACTGTCAATCCATTTCAAATTGCAATGTGGGATTCTAGATTTTTCATTGAGGTTTTACAGTAGGCTGTGCCAGGCTCTCGGTCAGTGTAGATATGATGAGCGAAAAAAGCGAACGAGAAGCGAAAGAAGCAAGGGAGCAGCGAAAACGTGAGTGAGCAAAAAACGGCGGGAAGGGAGAAGGGGAGAAGCTGTGGCATCTTCTTAAATACCTCAATTTGCCCACTACCCCGCCCACCTCGCGTAAACATGTCAAATTGTTAAAATTTGCAAGGGCGGATTCGCGCGAGTTCGCGGGCTAAAATGCTTTCCAAGGTGGCGTTCTAGATTCCATATCTAGGCCATCTTTCAAGACCGGCCGGCTTTGAAGGAATTACATGACATGTCTCCTGATGTCTTGGAACGAAGGTTCCTAGAGTTTCTTTGTTTACAGCAAAATTCGTTGTATCGCGCTGTGCGTTTTGCAAACTCTGAAGGGATTTAGGGTTTCCAAATAACAACGTAATTTGCCGTAAAAACGAAACTGAGAATAACTCTTGACTGTTCAAAATAGCAAAGGAAATTGCGATGGTATTTTTGTCAGGGGAAGGAAGTAGACTTTGACTGTTACAAGTTAGGCCGAAGAAGACATTTCCAGGGCTGTCAACTTCCCACGTCATCAAATATTGAGAATTGATAGGGGAGAGATGATAGATGACGTCATATCGCACGACAAATGACCCCATTTGTGCCAAAAATGCTCGCTGATTCCGATCGACGTATATAGCACATAAACAGTTCATATTTAGCACATTATCGCTTAAATTACAGTGGCATACCAGAATTTATGGAGAAACGTTTCATGTTACAGTAGCTCAAACAACGCAAAATATTTGAAAATTTATGGTCGGAAAGTCGAGTCTACAAGAAATAGCAACTTTGCCGATTATCCGGGAGATATCAGACTCTAATCTGAAGACCGGGAGATACAGTCCAAAATCTGGAGTCTCTCGGATTATCCGGGAGAGTTTACAGCACTGCATTTCGTAAGAAAGATCAGAACGGCAGCAGACAAGTCGATAATTGCCCGAAACAGGTAACGATTCTAGAAATAAAAACGGATCGAAATCCACCAATCTCAAATTACAAACCATGACCTTATGAACTCTTTGAAATGAACATCTGTTGCCTAAGAGGTCCGCTAAGATGATTGACAGAACAGAAAAACCTAAAATTCCTTCGAAGTTCGCAAAACGCGATACAAATAATTTGCCTGTAATATTGTACGAAACAATGAGCTGGTTGCCTACACAGACAGGGAATCTCTTGTCTCAGCCGATGTTTTTGGTTTTCAGTCGCTTTCGATCTTGTGCAAAACTAAAAAACTTTTGTCTGTCTGGAGAAATAATGCCTGTCACTGGGCTGTTTTGAAAATTGAGCTGTATAAATCTTCGGTTGTGATGGTTTTGTATTCGGTTTTCGGTTGTGATCGATCTATCGCGGTTTTTCGGTTTAGGGTAATTTTTAGAGCGGTTTTCGGTTTTTTATAGACCTCAATGCCCCCCTCCTTGACTGACAATAGCTTAAACTTTTTTCATTTGATTTTATAAACAAAGAGCGCATATCATTTTAAGAGAATGAGAAAACTCTTATATTCAAAGATCTTCAAAGCGATACTCCTCAGCTTGGCTCAGGCACTTGTAAATGGGAGAGTCATGCACAGAAATGTTCTTAATTCGAGTTCTCAATCTATTTGCTCGTCCTTTTTCAGTTCATGTTGTACCTGTACTCTGTTCTTCAGTGGGGTAAAAACCCTATGGTGGTATGTATACTGAGTAAAAAGAGGAGAGGGTAAATGGCAAAAAATCAACGCCAACAACGAATCAGTAGCACCAAAGAAAAGGAAATCAAGCCAAGATGCAAAAGAAGACAAACAGCTTGATCTTCGTTTTCGTAGTTAACATTTCTATATCTACAGCAGGGGCGGATGTAGGGGGAGGGTGCAGGGGGTGCACAACCGCCCCCCCCTTGAGATGACCTGCGGTTTTCTAATACAACTGGTATTCTGAAAAAAAAAAACTATGTGGTTTATTGGTGTTGAAGTGGAGCAAGAGATGAGTGCACCCCCTCCTAAAAAAATTACCGGATCCGCCCCTGGAAAGTAATATTAAAAGTGGAAAACGCAAGGTTCCATGGACAATTTCAGGTCGATTTACACAGCTTTGATCAAAACATTCTCAGTTTCGCGAATAGTTTATTCTAAACTATAAGAAAAGATTTAATTAGAAGTCGAATTTTTCGCTGTTTCTATTTCACTTTTTACCTTCAGTTCATTTTATTTGCCGGAAAGTAACCCTTAGAAATTAAAAGGACGTTTGATCGATTCACGCTCGCGCATTCTAGTCTTATTTGAAACTTTATCGCGGAAGGACATCTGTGAGCAGGGAAAAAGTCAGCACAGAATTTGATTGTCGGCGAATTTCTGTAATTGTCCATCAATCTGCTAGTGATAAGCTAGCGTTATTTCTCGTCTTGCTTGATTGGGGCTGAGTCTTATTCCGGTCAAAGAGAGAGAAAGAGTGTCTGGCAAGGTTTCCATTATAAATCAAAGATTCGTGAACTCGTGTCTGGCAAACTCTCCAAGTGTTTATATATACAGTTAAACGCACCTTATAACCTCGATCTGTGCTTAACGAGTGTCTTTTGGTCCATAACCTTCAAAACAACTGCTCCACAGAATGTCCCTGCGTAACGCAGAGTATCGAAGTATGACTGATCTATAAAATGTCACAAAATCTACCTGAGCGGTCCCTTCGGGATTTTCTGTCTTTACGTCATCCTAACCATTTCGTACTTGCGGGCACAAACAATAGAAACGTCATCATAACCTACCGATTCCGCGCGGCCCCTGTTCGAGCAAATCGAGATTTTTTTCTAGAAAACTGACTGTATATTTGAACTGTAAGTACTCTCCTTAATATACGCGCGAGTTACTAGGGTGCCTCCTCGGGATTTCGCCTCTAGGCGAAATCCCTGCGGGGGCAATAAGTAGCATAGTGCACACAGCCAACACTGAGATCAGAGAATGTGTCAAGTGGTTGCTTACAAGAGGTTAAAAACATTGGGAAATAATTAAACTTTTAGGCCCAAAAAGTGATCTTGGTCCCTTACAGGAGGTGGTAGTTTACGTAATATATCAAACATGAGATGCAGTGTTTCATCACCAGATGAAACACCGAGAAGAGAGTTGAAAATACGACGCGCAGCGGAGTATTTTTGACGAACTTCGAGGTGTTTCATCTGGTGATGAAACGCTGTGTCGAATGTTTGATATTTCTTCTCAAACAAAATCATTTTTGAAGGAGAAATTAAGGATGCAAATACTAAGCAGTGTTTCATCCGATTTCCAAACACTCATTAAACATTAATTTCCTTTGTATTTTCTTAATGAATTATTAATGAGTTTGAGAATAGAGGTTTCAACTGTAAGGCTTTGACGGGGAAAATGTTGGTGTTTTGGATTGGCGGTTGCTTATGGGAGGTGGTCGCTTACGAGAGGTGATCGCACATGGAGGTTCCGCTGTACTTTAAAAGTATGATCTATCAAATATCAACATTTATCAAAAGAATAACTAATTCATGCGGAGATGATCCTAAGAACTTTAAATACAGGTTTATTACTATTTACATGCAACTCTTTAAAACAAAGGAAACTGATTTTTAACTCTTTTTAACCGTAACTGAAAAAAATTAACCGATAGCCGTAAAAGAGCCAAAACTTTAGCCGATAATCGTAAAAGACTCCACCCCATTGAGACCCTCATGAAAGCTCTGTTGACGTTGATTTTGCAGTGTGTTCATATTAAAAGGAATGTTTTTACTCCATATCAAGAGGAGTATTTTCTTTATACAATGTTTTTATGGGTATGTTATCGTAACTTTAAAGCTTTTGTGCAAGATATTCCTGGATCAATGATATCGAGGGCAAACGAGAGCTGATTTAAATGCCAAAAAAAAAAGTGCGAATAAAAGTTTTGGCTTAATCGTCGTGGCTTACGTCAACAGACACGAGCTTAACTTCTTCCCAGGTGAAAACGATTAATTATTACCGCTCATAAGAGACTTGGATTATCTATCAGGTATTAAATAAAAGCTAAATTGAAAGGATTTTTCATG